ACTTACACAATAATAGCATTTTCTTCTCTCTCTTTTTCTTCGATAAAAAAAATGAAAAAAATTAATCAAAGCACCTCACTTGAATATGGCAGCCAACTGATTTTTCTGACAATCTTGTTCAAACAAATCACCTCAGTCTCCATAAAAGATGCAATACAATACAAGATTTTCATAATAAATTAATTGTTTGAAAATTCAAATAGCACAAATTATTAGACTCACAAAATATGGAGCCAACCAACCAAACGTTGATTACGGTTGAGTATTTTCCAATGAGTAACACCAATTCAACTGCCTTATATGCGATATTGGCCATCACTTTGGCGATTAATTATTGTAGTGCCCCAAAGTGAAGTCGCGGCCATAGCCAAGATCTGCAATCTTGAGGGTGTGAGATTTTGCATCAAAAAGTATATTTTGACTCTCCAAATCATGGTGACGGACATTATGCAATTGACAGTGGGCTACTCCACTAAGTATCTGGTAAAAAAAAGTTTCATACCAGCATGCTCTAAGTGTCTATTTTATTTGACGAGCATAAAAAGTGTATTGTTAGAGTATCCACAATGATGCTCTCTATTTCTTAGTTAAAATTTAGCTAAGAATATAAGAAAGCTATTTTAGGAGCTCTCTAAAAAATTTCAACTCCAACCATACTCCCTAATTTGGAGAGTCATAAATGCTATAACTCTTTTTTGATTGGTCCATCTCTATTAAAAAATAAAATAAAAAATAATTAGTATTAAATAAAGGTTTGAAATACTCATTAAATAAAGCAGCATTAAATTATAGGGAGCCACTAGAAATCATTTCTCTCTCCTCATATTTAGGAGCTCCTAGAGGACTCCCTATTTTAGGAGGTGGATAGAGAGTGTGGTTGGAGTTCCATTTTTACCATTCCTCCCTAAAATTTGTCTAAGGAGGTGGTTTAGGGAGTCCATTGTGAATGCTCTTAAGATACTAGAACACAAGGTAAATATGGGTTTCTTCTCCACTTTATCCTTCAAAGAAAAAACGTCATCAAATAGGAAGATGTTCGGGTATGTGGAGATTCTTCTGAGAAGAATGGCCTCACAAATATCATCGGGATGTAAGCCTCCTATTTAACGAGGTCAGGATTTATCTTCTCTATTCCAACAACGTCATCTATGTAATAACTCGATCCTAAATTAATATTTAATTATTAATTTATTCAAATAAAAGATAATTTTATCCCGAGAATATTTTAATGGTTTAAAAGTGGACTTTTTGTTTGGGAAGGAATTTGAGGACTTTAATGGTACTGTTGCGTAGAGCACGTTGAGATGAGTCAATAGACGTGTAGTGGGCTCAAATCGGAGTTATAACGAAGAAGTTATAATCTACAGAAGCCTAGTGACATAACCGTAAATATTTTGAAGTTCAGTTTTTAAAAACCCAAATTTTCTTCATCTCTTCTTCTCCTCCACGAACAAGAAACTTCAGACAGTGATATCTCCTCCATCCGACCACCAAATTTGCAAACTCTTCATCTCTCTCTCCTCTTTCCATACATACCCATATCTAGCTATGATTCCAAGTGATTAAACCAGAAAATCGAATGAAAACATAGCCCAAAAACGGGCTGTTTCAAAACCCAAAATTTTGACGCCATTTTCGATCAACTCTGGCCACCACCCGCAACCAAATCACTTCCAAAACACTCCCTTACCTCCCCTATATGATTTCCCTCAAAGACCCGACCCAATTTCAAGTAGAAATTGTCAAATCAAAACCCAAAACTTTCTAGGTTTTTCAAAGGGGAAATCATTCGTTCGAGGGCTTTAATGGTGGAATTGATCTTCAAGCCAAGGTATAAAGTTACTCCCCTTGATGTGCTTGAAATGTAGGTATGAATATTGGTAGGTGGTTTGGAGTTTTCCGATCGCCTGAAAATTACTCTAGACATCTGCCGGGGGTGGCGACGCGTCGGCAGGATTCAAGGTTGGGTTTGGTCCTAAAATGATCCCCACTTCGTCCCAAGCATGATGATATACTCGGATTTCATTTTGGTTACCGTTTGATTGTCGATCGAATATTAGGCGTTGTCCTAGTTCGATATGTTTAGACCATTGGATCGACTCCAATTTAAAATATGTTGATCTAGACACCTATAGGATAAGGTAGAAATTCGCGGATCGAGAATCGGAGACCCGGATACTCCGATTCAATAATTCAAAGTGTAGATAAACGATAATTGTCCGATCGGATAATATAGGAACTCTCGGATTATTAATCGGAGGTCGTGGACCCGTCAGGGTACCGGGTTGACCACTATGGGAAATTAATCGCTAATTTAACATTGGGTCTTTTCAAACCATTCCACCTATTGGAACTATTGAAAATGGGCCTAGGAACTTTCTTAAATTATGTACATGCATTTTAAGGCCAGGGGTCAAGGTTTTTATTAAATATTTGTGTGGAGCTATTTTATTAATTAAATATTTTTAATTGCTTAAATAGGTACTCGACCTTCGGTGAAACCGCAGAAAAGACCCTCGAAGGGTCAGGCTAGCTCGAACGCACAATGAATGGACTTTTGATTTATAAATGAATTTTATGAGTAAAAGTTTTATTATTTCTCTTGAATGAATTATTTATAGCTTTTCTTTCGAAGCAATTAGTTTGAATTCAAATGTTTTTATTAAATTCTGTTTATGTTTAAATGTGAATGGCTTGGAAAGTAGAAGAGGAAATAATAACAGGATTTAAGGAAAGACCCTCGAAGGGTTAGGCTAGCTTGGACACACAATGAGTGGACTTTCAATTTATAAATGAATTTTATGAGTAAACGTTTTATTATTTTTCTTGAATGAATTATTTATAGCTTTGCTTTCCAAGCAATTAGTTTGAATTCAAATGTTTTTATTAAATTTTGTTTATGTTTAAATCTGAATGGCTTGGAAAGTAGAAGAGGAAATAATAACAGGATTTAAGGATAAATGAGAAATAGTATTATAATTTTCCTAGAAAGGTTTTTAAACCACCATAGGTACCAAAAATGTTGCCTTCGGATAATATGTTGCCTTCGGGTAAATTATTGCATTTGGTTATAATGATGTCCACGGACATCCTAATTGCCTTTGGTTGAGTCAGCGCGCATTTGACAATTGCCCCACGAGTCTTAGGGATATCCATACTGTGAGGAGCGAGGATGCAGCTCAGGTTGACCAAGTGTCCCCTGAATCTTGCGAGGAATGTGGCTCGGATGACTTTGTGTTTCCGAGGCCTAAAAATCTTGAATTTTCATAAAAAATTAAAGTGTTTCGTGGAAAATCAATTGGGAGTGCTTCTTGAAGAAGCACATAACAGGTGCTTCTCCAAGAAGCACATAGCACGTGCTTCTCCAAGAAGCGCTTCTATAATCCTGAAGCGCTTCTAAACTTTTCTACCAAATGTTATCAAAAGTGTTTTTAGTTATCAGAAAGCACATTTGGCCTTTATAGAAGCACTCCCAAACAGGAATTGCTCAAGTCGAACATTTTTTTTTTTTTTTTGTTGAAATAGGGGGGATTAAACCCTAAACGCACAAAAACTAAATAACATAGGTAGTACGAGTTCTACGAACATATTACTTTCAACTTAACTATAAAAACGTACGAAAAGGAAAAAAAAAATAGAGAACACATAACTAACAATTTGAGAATTGGGAAGAAAAACAAAATTGATTAAAGAAATTGATTGGATTCATCAATTAGTCAACTTGTCCTTGGGTTAAAAGCACATTTCAGAATTCTTCTTTTAAAAACACACTTGATTCATGTTCATTCTGAATCTTTCTCCATACACAAAAAATGGAACAAGCTTGATGAACTCGTAGAAATCAATTAAAACACATGATTTGAAAATAGGGCAATACTAAAATATACGAAACTTGTGCCAAATTAAGTTGCCCAAAAAGTGTACGTGGCGGTCATTCATTTGCCGTGGCTCCCCGTGATACCTGGCATACTCTATAATTACATGCTACACAATAAACGCGGGTAGGAGTATATTAAAGCCTTCAGGGCTTGTTTACTTGCATAATTGCATTTACATGTTTTATTTTTTTTCCTTGATTAATAAGTATAGTTTAGAAAAGGACACGTCAAGTAGAAAAACGTTTTTAAGGTTTGGGCGATCTGTTTGGTTCGTTGTGTAATAGCGTTTCATAAATGCCCAATTCCTTCGCTTCCCCTCACGGCATCCCTAAATTTCTTCAGGTTCGCCCATTTCGGCACATTTGATTCTCATATTTCGGGCACCCCACGGTAGGAAGGGATCAAGGGTAGTGAAATCTCAAAACTACCCTTTGACTTTATTGGTGTGACATTGGTAGTGAGATCATTCAGATGTGAAGAACAATATGCTTCATGCTTGAATCACATTAGATCTAGCATCTATGGTTCATTCGTGTTACATTACTTATAGACCTTTCAATTTTAATAAGTAGATCACCGGATGTAGATTATTGGTCAGATTTGAACCCTCATGAGATAAACTCCTTCATCTAATATCGCCCATATTATAAATTATAAATAAATAAATAAAACGGATTATCTGTCATATAACATTATCACGATCTGGTAATTAGTCCAAGAGAAATGATCTTTTTGATATTACTACGTACTATGTAATTTTTCATGCATCATAGGGTCTTTGAAATGGAGGGTGCCCTTTGAAAATGGAGGGGTTGAGTTTGAGTGCCCATATCAATTAAGTTTCGTTAACAAGTAAGACTAATATACCATGCCCTAGGGCCTAGAATTTGACCACATTCTTTGCGTCACATCCCAAAGAACCACCAGCTTTTACCACCTTTCCGCATCAACCCCTCGCTACTATAAACCCTGAGCTTTTCCCTCCTCCCATCAAATCAAACTCTCCTCAGAATCCAATACCCTCTCTCTCTCTCTCACCCAGACAGACACAAAAAACACAAGAACACAGAGAGAGACAAAGCCATGAAGGTCATCAAGATTCTATTGATCATAGCAACAACCATGGCTTTGTCTATCACTCTCACGACCGGGACAAGGGTTAGCCATCAAGAAGAAGAAGGCAAATCCCCTTTCACCGACTCATGGAAAGAGCAACTGTCGGCTGACGACGAGAGGGTGAGTCGCTTCCTTGCTGAAAAGGATCTGGTAGCAAGAAGCCTTAAAGCAGCTTCCCAGTGCAACAAGGACTATGACACATGCCCCAACGTGCTGCCGGGCCATAGGAACTTCACCTGCTGCAACCACAAGTGCGTGGATTTGTCCGTAAACAAGGACAACTGTGGTGCATGCAAGAAGAAGTGCAAGTACACGCAGTCGTGTTGCGGAGGGCAGTGCGTGGACCTGAGTTCTGACAAGAGGCATTGTGGCCTGTGCAACCATCCCTGCCAGAATGGAGCGTCTTGTGTGTATGGTCTTTGTGATTATGCGTGATTAAGACGGTCCATTAAGGGCTTATGAGTGCTCCTGAGGTTCGTAATTTTATTGATTATGCAATAAAACAACCACAATAAGAAGAAGAAGAAAAAAATCGGTGGTTCTCTCAAATAATTATATAGTTATTACTGCTTTTATTATTAATAATACAGTCCTCGAGTGCTTTTCTCTGAATGTAATGATCGATGTCATGATCTATTTAAGAACTTGATTTATGAGTATGGAATTTGTATGAATCAATAACTTATAATTATTCAATACTTAAACTGTAGTGTTAATGGAGAGTCTGCATTGTGAGACCACTGTAAACATGGATATTGTTATAATAAGGGATTCCTTTGGTGCCCATTGTTTTATTTTATTTCATTTTTTACATAAAAAATACATATTTAGTTAATAGGGTGACTTGGTTTCTGTTTTAACATAATTTCAAATCAATTCCCCAGAAATAATTAAAATACTTCACATCAACTAGCCAACCGTCACTTTTTTATCTTTTTTTTTTAATAGTACAAGCGGCACAAATATTTTAGCTAGAAGAGCTCAACCAACTGAGCTATACCTCACTAGCAGCCAATATTAATTTTAAAGATTGAATGCTATTGCTCAACCTTAGTTGTTTTTTACTTGTTTTTGTTTATCTTATCAATAAAATACTATCGCTCTTTTATCAAAAGATTTATTTCTCCTTGTGTGTTAGGGTTTTGGGAGAATATCCTTATTTGATTATGATTATTCTTCCCCAAAAAGATTATAGGAATTACTCCAAGGGATTTGGCGGGAATTGGTTCCTTGATTTATAGTTTACTTAAGGAATATTCGTTTTCCATGTGTGATCTTTTTATTGGCAAGCGAAATATGTGTTTCCACAAACATAGATACATAAAATGCCATAACCAGGGCAAGTAAGGACCCCCGCTATATGGTCTCCATGTCAAGTACAAAACATTCCTCACCAACACCATGATCAAATCACATGTGTCATAAGTAACTGAAATCCCTAATCCAACAATAAAAATATGTTACTATTCATCCCATAAATAGTAACTCACACAATCCATTTTCATTATAACTAGGGTTTTATACATTCCTGTTTAAATTTACTGGATTTTCATTAGGGACCTTTACTTTACCAAAATTACAAAGTTGTTCGAGAACTTATGATATTTACACTTTGGCCATGAACTTTCATAAATTACGAAATGGCCTCAAAATCTGCAAACTTATTTCCAGTTTGGTCCCTGTTGCGGCAATGATATCCCTGGCCAAAAGTTCAGAATTCTTCAACGAATTTGATTCTCAGACAAAAAATGGCGAAATTCCAGAATCTGCCCTCAAACTTTACCTTTGATTGTTGGACTTGATCTCACGATCATCTAGGCAAAAACGGTTAGTGTTTTAGAGTTATAGAGAGGAAGTTATGATTTTACAAAGTTTTTGAACCAAAACTTTTTTATCTGGAGTTACAGACTTGTTGAAGGAGGAAGAAGAAAAGTCCAGCCAAATATGGGATTTTATCCACCGCCTCACAACTTTTAATTTTGTTTCAAACGGTTCAATAAAAGCCGGCCACTAAGTGGATCAAATTCAATAATCCACATTAAGAATTCTTTGGAACTCCGAAAAATTCAATGATAAAAATCTCGAATTCCTAATCACATGTACTTTAATTTCATGTTATAAAGTAATTTTTGTATAATATTTCAAGTACACCAGGTGTACCTTACAAAAGTTTCTCTTACTTCCAATGTTAGAAGAATATAAAGTTTGAAATCTCCATCCCCACATTAATAAACATCACATTTGAGTGCATGCCATTTTGTCATAAGTTCTTATAACAACAATATCCCAATTAGATCCATAGAATTTCAACTATATGAGATTTGTTCCTCACAGATCATCATGAGAATTAATAATTATGGCTTATTAGGTAATTAATATACATTCTTATTGGTCCATTGGGTGTATTTTATATTCCCTCTCCAGAAGACGACGGATCTTGACCTCCCAAAGCTTATAACCAATAACATCAAATGTGGTTGAAATGAGCAAAAGGAATTGACATGAATATTCCTCAAGGCATTTGAAATATTCAATGGTAAATTACTCAAATGATCCTCAAACTTGTACTCGATTTACATTTTGGTCCATCAATTAAATTATTCATTCAAATGGTCTATTAACTATATATTAATCGTTCCATTGGTCCTACCATCTAATTTTCTGTTAAATATAACCAAATTTTAGGGTTAATACGACTTTTTCATAATTAACAAATCAAATAGGGTTAAAATAAATCCAAAATTAGAAAATAATTGAAGAAAAAGAGAAAAAAAATCATGAGACCCAAACCCCATCTCTTCGATTTCTTCTTCCCCATTCCCCACAGACCTCTCCATATGGGTATAGAGTTATGGGTGTGGGGAAAGCGGTTGGGTAGTTT